CAGCAGGAAGCACGTCTTACTCGGGCCACCATGGAGCACACTGCATGCTTTTACAACATAGCATACCTAGACAATACAGCATTACTGTTATTAAAACTGGGTGGCACAGTGACACAGTGGTTAGCACTGTTGCCTCACAAAGAAAACCTTCATCAGTGGACTGAACGACTACAGACCTGTCGCCTTGACATCTGTAGTTATGAAGTCCTTTGAAAGACTGGTGTCGGCCCATCTGCTGGACCCCCTGCAGTTTGCCTACCGGGGAAACAGGTCAGCGGATGACGCGGTGAACATGGCACTGCATTACATCCTGCAACACCTCGACTCTCCAGGGACGTACGCACGGGCCCTCTTTGTGGACTTCAGCTCGGCATTGAACACCATCATCCCAGACATCCTCCACTCCAAACTGACCCAGCTCACTGTGCCTGCCCCCACCTGTCAGTGGATTACGAGCTTTCTGACAGACAGGAAGCAGCAGGTGAGGCTGGGGAAAACCACATCCAGCACCCGAACAATAAGCACAGGTGCCCCCCAGGGATGTCTGCTCTCCCCTCTGCTGTTTTCACTCTACACCAACGACTGCATCTCGAAGGACCCCTCTGTCAAGCTCCTAAAGTTTGCTGATGACACAACGATCATTGGTCTCATCCGAGACGAGGACGAGTCAGCCTACAGACGCGAGGTTGAGCAGCTGGTCCTGTGGTGTAGCTGCAACAACCTGGAGCTGAACATGCTCAAAACAGTGGAGATGACAGTGGACTTCAGGAAGAGCCCCCCCACCTTACCCCCACTTACCATACTTGGCAGCACTGTATCAGCAGTAAAGTCCTTCAAGTTCCTGGGCTCCACTATCTCCCAGGAACTGCTTTTTCTGCATTGTTTGCGCTGTTTGTTGATGTTAAAACTGCTATTTTGTTATATTACACAGCCTTATGCTGGTTACTGTTTTGCACATTGAGAGCTGATGTACCCGAGTCAAATTCCTCGTGTGTCCGTCACACCTGGCCAATAAAGCTGATTCTGATTCTGATTCTCAACAAGAAGGTTTGGGGTTGGAGCCCGGGTCATCCTGGGGCCTTTCTGTGCAGAGTTTGTATGTCCTCTCAGTGCATGTGTGGGTTCTCTCATGTTATTGAAGTGGCTGTGGCTCAGGAGGTAGAGTGAGTCATCTCCTAACTGGAAGGTTAGCGGTTCAATTCCCGGCTTTTCCAGTTCACATGTTGATGTGTCCTTGAGCAAGACACTCAACCCAAGTTGCTCACGGTGATGACACCGGTGTGCGAATGTGTGAATGGCCAAATAGTGTGACATCTGCAATGCATAGAAAAGTGCCACACAAGTATAAGACCATTTACTGTAAAATACATGTCCTTTGTTGCCAAGACTTGCGCTCAACCTCGGTCAGGTTGGTAGTGTAGAGATCCTCCCAGACAAACAGCAAACCTACAGTGCAGTTATCAGCTGAGGTTAAGCCACTATACTCTGGAAAACATTAATTTATTACGCCTTCTCCAACAGCAGCTTGCTGTTGCAGTCCCACCGTGCTGTTCTGTACAGTGAAGGGGTTGAGTGTCCCAGTTGGCCACTACATTCAGCAATTTTAAATGTGCACTGCAGATAAACTGCACACTGAACGGTATCCTTTTCTATTTACACATGCAAATTCCTCAACACCAGATGACTTTATTGCCTCGTGGGTGCGGTCTATGGTTCTGATTATGTGTGGTAAACCATTATTCAGCTAATAGTAGGCTGAGAGACTCCGCACGTCTCCAATCTCACACTGGAATGTGCCTGTTGCTAGTAAAACCAGAACCGACAATATCTGTGCGGGCACTGGGATGAGGTTTGTACGTCTAGTTGGCCAAGGCAAGTTGGTGGCGCAAATCAAGTAAGACTGGCCTAAGCAAATGAAATGTATTAATTAACCTTTAATCACTTTCCACAACAAGCTCCCTGCGGTCCCTGAAAACGTGTGCTCTCCTATCTATTTGCAAAGTCCTCTAGCAAGGTGAGCTCAGCCATTGTCAATCCATATTCTGTCTGTATACGTGCCTTTTATTGTATATGATTTCAATTTAATCAAACTGGACTAAATCACATTTCATCGGTTAACTGTATTTTGTATCACCTGTGTTGATATGATTTTAATAATTGTGTTTGGTGTAGGTCCGACTGTGGTCACATTCTCCATACAGAGTATATGTATACACATGGTCAAAAATGATTCTAAATTTACACACACTGTTATGTACAAAAGGAAATTAATAAATCACCTATGTGCAAATGCAGATACATTTTGTAAGGAATGCATTTGACTGTTGGATCGTAATCCGATGCAACATAATTTATGAATGAATGAAACTGCATTTTCCTACTGACAAAGAACAAGAAGAAAGTGGAGAGGTTGGCAAAAGGTATAAAGATCAGCTCCATCTTTCAGGCGGCTTGAGGTCTACTCCACCTTCATTTCAGGGCCAGTCTTGGCCAGTCTTGGCCCTGAAATGTGGAAAAAAGTCAGAGGTGCTACTCAGGAGAGCATAAAGAGTAACAGAGCCTGAGATGGTTGCCTCTTTCCTATAGCGTAGGGCTGACTACCTTGATTTACCAATGAAAGAAAGCAGACATAATGCAATAACTGCCAGTGGCACGATGTCTCAAAAGGCGTCTAAGGTCTGAGCATATAAGCATAACGAAATGGTAGTTACACTGATCAATATGTAGGCAGCCACTGCCAACCAAGCGCCTCAGCTCGGCCTGGTGGTCCTGCTGTATTCATCCACCAGCAGGTCTGGACATTAACAGAAGGATCAAATTATCAGTCGCCTTCTGCAGTAAAGTACAACAAACACTGCACCACCTGGAGGATATATACAACACTGTGGGCAGGTTGCATACACAGTGCTTAGGGGCTGGGTGCGACCATTACATCATCACGTGGGATACACGGTAAGAGCAGGGGCCGTGCACGAACCTGTCACGGATCAGTGGTTAAATTGCTGGCTGTGGTCCAGCCAGCAATTTAAGATGTCTGCATCTGTAGGTACAGTAGACTACATTAGCAGCATGGCTAAACAAAACACAACGGAAACTCTCGGACTGGAAACATGAATGAAGCCACTCGCATCAACTTGTCACAATATGGACATATCATGTCTACAACACTTACCCTGCAACTCGTCACCCCGACCATGCGTTTAAACACAACAGGGAGTTAGGTTTTTGCTGGACTAATGTGAACATATAGACAAACTCTGCTCATACTGGCTCCAGCTCTGTTATGTACTGGTATCACGAGACAGCTTTTGCCTCGACAAGAAATATTGTCACCTTTTAATATCACGAGATCTTGTGGCACGAGATATCATCACAACCCTAGTGGAAATGTTCATAGGTATGGTTTAAGCACAAAAATGTGCGTACACACAGTTGATAAATGAGGACCCTGGTATTTGTCTAAGACAAATAATACCAGTTTGCAACAATTAACATTAAATTAACATAAAAATAGAATTCTCACCTGTTCTTCTCTTCTGCATTGAACTGGCTAGAGTTTGAGGACTGAGGACTCTGAAACATAAACCACAAACTTAACTGAAGATCTTCCATCAACTCAATGAAATCGCAGTCAGCAGCTTTCAGCGTAAATCTTTCCAGGTTTTACTGTGACATAAACATGGGTTTATACATCCGTACTAAGACATGTAGGACAAGAAGAAGCAAACCAGGATGTATTAAAAGTTAAAATGTTCCACATCACCATTGTGTCTGTTATTTTGTGAACAAATTACATATAAAATAATGTTACATTATACTACCAACTGGTTTTGGTCCCAGTCAGTTCAATGCAACACGTCCATATTAGATCTGATCAACCTTTCTCTATTAACAGATTATGTTCCACAGGCTTTTAAAGTTGCAGTAATTAAACCTCTGCTCTTGACCCAGGTGTTCTAGCTAATTATAGACCAATATCCAATCTCCCGTTTATTTCTAAAATTCTGGAAAAAGCTGTTGCTAAGCAGTTATGTGACACTTGCACCAGAATGATTTGTTTAAGGATTTTCAGTCAGGATTTAAGGTCCATCATACAGTGATGAACAGAAGTATTTGAACACCCTACGATTTTGCAAGTTCTCCCACTTAGAAATCATGGAGGGGTCTGAAATTCACATTGTAGGTGCATTCCTACTCTGAGAGACAGAATTAAAAAAAAAAATTCAGGAAATCACATTGTATGATTTTTAAAGAATTTATAGGTCTTGCACTGCTGAACATAAGTATTTGAACACCTGAGAAAATCAGTGTTAATATTTGGTACAGAAACCTTTGTTTGTAATTGCAGAGGTCAAACCGTTCCTGTAGTTCTTGACCAGGTTTGCACACACTGCAACAGGGATTTTGGCCCGCTCCTCCACACAGATCTCCTCTAGATCTGTCAGGTTTCAGGGCTGTCACTGAGCAACATGGAGTTTAAGCTCCTTCCAAAGATGTTCTATTGGATTGAGGTTTGGAGACTGGCTAGGCCACTCCTTGATATGCTTCTTACGGAGCCACTCCTTGGTTATCCTGGCTGTGTGCTTCGGGTCGTTGTCATGTTGGAAGACCCAGCCACGACCCATCTTCAATGCTCTGACTGAGGGAAGGAGGTTGTTGCTCAAAATCTCACAATAAATGGCCCCATTCATCCTCTCCTTAATACAGTGCAGACGTCCTGTCCCCTTCGCAGAAAAGCACCCCCAAAGCATGATGTTACCACCCCCATGCTTCACAGTAGGGATGGTGTTCTTGGGATGCAACTCATCCTTCTTTTTCCTCCAAACACGACGAGTGAAGTTTAGACCAAAAAGTTCTACTTTGGTCTCATCTGACCACATGACTTTCTCCCATGCCTCCTCTGGATCATCCAGATGGTCTTGTAGTGTTCTACTGACAGTGACCTTTGAAACTGTGGTCCCAGCTCTCTTCATGTCATTGACCAGCTCCTCCCTATCGTTCTGGGCTGATTCCTCACCTTTCTTATCATCAGTGATACCCCACGAGGTGAGATCTTGCATGGCGCCCCAGTCCGAGGGAGACTGACAGTCGTCTTTAGCCTCTTCCATTTTCTAACAATTGCTCCAACAGTTGATCTATTTTCACCAAGCTGCTTGGCAATTGCCCCGTAGCCCTTTCCAGCCTTGTGGAGGTCCACAATTTTGTCTCTGGTGTCTTTTGACAGGGTGTTCAAATACTTCTGTTCCTCACTGTAGTACAGAAACTGCACTGGTGAAAGTTACCAATGATCTTCTCCTAGCCTCAGACAAAGGACTTGTCTCTATACTGGTTCTCTTAGATCTTATTACAGAGATGTGAAAATAGTATTGGGATTAACGGAACCTCAAATTGTTGTTGTTTCAAATCTTATTTATCATTCATTCATTCATTTTCTACCGCTGAATCCCTGAGCGGGGTCACGGGTGGGGCCGGAGCCAATCCCGGCCGGCAATCGGGCGAACTTATTTATCACAAAGATTCCAATTTGTTCATGTTAATGATGAATCTTCTATGCAGACCAAAGTTGGTCATGGCATTCCACAAGGCTCTGTGTTAGGTCTATTACTGTGTCAGCCACTACAGCACATAGTTACATCCATAAATGCTGCTTAAAACTGGACTGTTCCAAAAGGAAGCTCTATGTCAACAGTGTCCAGAAGTCGACTGCTCTGGGCTCAGAGGCACCTGGGATGGACCATCACACAGTGGAAACGTGGAATCTGGTCAGACCAATCAGTGTTTCAGGTCTTTTTGGAAGGAATGGACGCCGTGTGTTCTGGACCAAAGACTAAAGGACCATCCAGACTGCAAAGTTGGTCATGGCATTCCACAAGGCTCTGTGTTAGGTCTATTACTGTGTCAGCCACTACAGCACATAGTTACATCCATAAATGCTGCTTAAAACTGGACTGTTCCAAAAGGAAGCTCTATGTCAACAGTGTCCAGAAGTCGACTGCTCTGGGCTCAGAGGCACCTGGGATGGACCATCACACAGTGGAAACGTGGAATCTGGTCAGACCAATCAGTGTTTCAGGTCTTTTTGGAAGGAATGGACGCCGTGTGTTCTGGACCAAAGACTAAAGGACCATCCAGACTGTTAGCAGCAACAAGTCCAAAAGTCAGGGTCTGTCATTGTCTGGGGTTGTGTCAGTGTCCAGGGCAAAGGTCACTCACACTTCTGTGATGGCTCCATTAATGCTGAATAATACACAGAGATGTTGGAGCAACATCTGCTGCCTTCAAGACGACATCTTTTCCAGGGACGCTCATGCAGATTTCAACAAGACAATGCAAACCGCACACTGCCACATTACTAAGGCCTGGCTGTGGAGGGAAAAGGGGCGAGTGCTGGACTACCCTGCCTGCAGTCCCCACCTGTCCCCAGTAGAGAATGTGTGGCACAGTTTGAAACATAAATTACATAAGCAAAAACCCAGGACTGTTGCACCTTATGACTTGTTTTCAGGAAGAATGGGACAAAATGACACCTGACACATTGAATCACTTGGTGTCCTCAGTCCCTAAACATCTTTAAGTGTTGTGAAAAGGAACGACAGCACCACACCATGGTAAATGCTTCACTGTCCCAACTTTTACTGGAATGTGTTGCAGCGTCAGAGTTAAAGTATGTGTTTATTTTGAACAAAGAATAAAGTTCACATCAGATAATGTGCTGCTGTGTTGTTTTCAGTGTGATACAGGACACAGAGGATTTACACATAACTAATTTTTTAATTTTGATTTTATATTCTGTCTCAACTCTTTCTGATTTGGGGTTGTATATAATCAAAATTAAGTCTAGGTTTTTTTAAGAACCTGTTCAACAATATAGGCTGAAACTTGCTCTCCTACCTGCCCAAACAGGCTCTTGAGGTGCAGTTTAGCAGCCGGCAGTTTGGGTTTATGGTGCCTGTGCTGGGATTTGAAGGAGAAGGGGCTGGATGAGGATGAAGGAGATGGAGTCAGCTGGCTGTCCCTCTCCATGTTTTCACTGCTGCCTTGGGTGTTTGGGGCCAGCTGGCTGTCACTATAGGCCCTGCAGCATTCACTGATGACACACACTCCGAGGTGGCTCTTGTCCAGAGTTTCTTGCTCACTTAAGTTCTTCACGCTGGTGCTGTGTCCCTTGATCATTTCATTCTTCTCCACCTCGCCACCACTCAGTGTATGCTCCTGGATGATGGGAATAAGGACAGGTGACCTCCCATTTACCTTACCTTCCTCCACATTGGATGTGTAGGTGTTAGGCGCCTGGTTCTTCTCATTATGTGGGTTTGTTAGTGCATCCCTCTTCCAAGGGAGGAAATCAAGGTCTAGGAGGGATCCCTCAGAGCTGAATCTACGCATGGTTGCTGTATGAGAAGTGATCCAGAAGGGCAGGAAAAGGAAATGCTGCACAAAGTGAAAAAGAAAAAGCAGACATCAGATATTAGGTGAAATGGCTGCAGTAAAACACAGCCTTTAGAAAAAAGCAGAGAAGATCCAGGTTGGTGGTAGGCAGCAAAACTGTACAATTAGAAAAATGGATCAGAAACAAAGTGCTCCTCATCACTCTGTTCACTCACTGAACAGCAGCTCACTCAGAGACCAACATCCATAAGTCATTGGGCATTAGTTACAGCCCAGAACCCCCACCCTCCCCTCTCCCCACATCCTCCCACATCAAAAGTTTTAATCAGAGGGTCTGATTAAGATTTATGGTTTTATTAACTTCCTCTACAGCTGGATTGACACTCCCACATCGCCTTGCTCTTACACCAAATGGCTGTTTATTACCTCGCCTTCCTTTCACAGTCTAACAAGGTAACAGGATTTTTGTGGAAACTGGACCACACGGCTGCTCCCAGAGTGAAAGCAGAAGCATATTTACACTTTCATCCAAGCAAGCTTAGAAACGATCACATCAATCATTACAGATAAAATCGGTGAAACTGAAATATGAATCAGTGCCATGCATTTCCATACAAACTTGAAACCAGGAATGTTGATGTGGGCAGATATCACAGGGAATTGTTCTGCGATGAAACTGTCTGGCATGACTTTTCTTGCAGCAGTTAGAGCCTCATTCAAGTGGTCACCGTTTCCTAACATTTGAAATCTTAGTTCAAACATATACAAAAGCTGGGGTAACAGTGGTGCAGTGGGTAGACCAGCTATTTCCCAACCAGCGGGTTGAAGGTTCAAATATCAGTGCCTGCAGTCCACATGTCGAAGTGTCCTTAGGCAAGACACTGATGGCAGCGGCCCGGGGCCCCTCAGCTCCAAACAAAACTTTGTTGTACGTGTTGTTAGGTATTTTTAGTCAGATAGATATTGGATAGATACTTTATGTATTAGAAATGTTTAGTGGAGATAGGATGTCTAGTTAGACTGTTAAATGCTTAGGCCTGCTTATGAGTTTCCGCAGGGTACTTCTGGTCAAGGATACCAGAGAGAAGAGTTGATGACTGTCAGCAGACAGGGTGTTTAATATTATTATTACGACGTGTATAACTGTGGCCTTAGCCATAATATGTTCTTATGTTTAAGCCACGACATGTACTAGAGGTTGTGAGAATGTTTTTAGTTACACACCACTTAACCAACAGACATACACATTCACACGTTGATTTGCTTCATGTTTTGACTACTGCTATGACCAGCTGCAAAGCTGGTAACAGAGACGTCCCGGTTGACATTTCTGTGTAGTATGGGGCTAGCCCAACCGAGGTGATAAAATGTATAGGCCTGGTGGGTTCAGGGTCTTTTCATCTTACATCTGCCTGCGTGCATGGTGGAGGTGCAAGATACTTGAGCGTGTAATGTTAATTTTACCTGTGATCCTCTGAATAAATCAGCACTGTTTTGAAGTTACTAGGACTGCCTTGTCTCTCAGAGTTAGCAATGGTAAGACGAACCATATCCTACAGTGTCAAGAGTGTTACAATAAAATAAATCTTCTTCTTCTTACATAGTTGCCCATTTTCAGTATTTATCCCAGTTGGTTTTAGTTTCATACAGTGCTTTATGCACAGATTGCCTTCCAACCTCGCAGCATTTCTTCCTGGTGATTTAAAGCGGCGTAAATGTACCCGGCCTCTGTCAATTTTTGACAAAAAAAATCTGTCAATCAAAAAAAAAAATCATAAATCAGTGAATCAATTCATTAAAATATGTTTGCAAAGCTCCACATGTACGGTTAAGTATCTCTACCAAAGCCGGTTTCATAATCCAGATCACACTAGTCATTAATGAGCCCTCCACCTCATCCATACAGGCCTCCTCTGCTACAGAGCAGTCCCGGGGAGCTACTGCCAGTGTTGTGAGTTCTGATAGTCAATCGTCCACCTCCTCTCTCGGTGCACTACAGGCAGGCATGGTGTGTGGTGTGTGCGGAGCAGGGGGCCCGCAGGCTGAGGTCACCATGTTGGATTGCTGGTCCCATAAAGGCTCCAAGGAGGGAAAGTGGGAAAATAGCATCTTCCTCTGGGTCTGCTATACGTGATAACAGTACCATGCCCCCCTGATCCACACTCACAGACCACTGCATATCCTGGTGCTCTGCTTTGCCTATAAACAATGGTCTAAACATGGTTGACGCACTCCAATACGACCATACAGGTTTACAACACGATTGTTTCTTCAATAAATACAAATAAATAAAACTCTCGAGCCTCGCCTTAAACACAATGGTCACATGATTTCCCCTTTGAGCTGCAAATCTAACACCTAGGTGTAAAAGGATGGAGGAAGGGTAGATGTGAGAATGGTCTTTGATGTGTGAATGACCAGGGGAAACATAAAACCTTACAACCCTGTGGAGCCACACCTCAGTGGGTGAGCCCTAGTTTTTCAGCTGCCAATATGTCCTATTCCCACACACCTAATGAGAAATGTTGGGGTGTCTGTCTGGTTGTAGGGGGAGTCATACATCTTAACCCTCTGATGTGAAAGAAGGGTTAGGTGCTAAAGCCCCTTTGTAAAATGAAAGAGGATGTGTGGAGGAAGGCTAGGGGTTTGTCCACTGTTGATAAAATATGGCCCTTATATACCAATCACTATGGAAACCCATTTCCAACATGTAGATAGATAGTCCTTTATTGTCAATGTAACACGTTCAACAAAATTTTAGTATATGTAATGTAAAAGAAAAAATGAAATGCCGGAAATGATGAAAATATAAGAAGTCAAAATTATGAGATACCACATATTTTCACTATGTCATGATTTTGGTTACCATAAATGTTTTTCCTTTTCTAGTAAAACCAGGCTTCCAAAAATACATATAAAATAAAAAAGTATGCTATAGAGTAGCCTAAGTCAATTTTAGTAAATAATTTGTAAAAATTATGAGTCTAAATCAAAATTTGATTAACTTTGGTGACTAATTTTTCACTTAGAAATTCCAGTTTGTGAGCTGTCTCCATATTACAAAGTTACAGCTCTATGGCTTTTAACTTAAAAACTTACATCTTCAGCTCAGAGCTTTTGACACAATACGAGTAATATTTTAATCCATATTAGGGTCATTCTTCAAAAATGATGGAAGTACTGTCTCCTTTGAGTTGACATGATAACCACAGTTTTATATGTTGAATAACTGGACTGTCCTTTCAGTGATAAAGTTTTTTCCATCTAAAGTTTGACGAACTGTCTTATCACTTTGATCTTACATGGAAGAGGAGCCATATACTTTTCATTTAAAAATATATTTTTCATGAATTAAATCTCATTCAACATTAGTGTCACATATATTAAAACAGAACACTGAATTGTTTTTAGACAAGACTAAATATTATTAATAGTAACAAATAAATATTGGTTACCCCATAAGATGTCATTGGTGTTACACTAAAAAAATACTTTCATTTTGAAACAGGTTCTTCTTGGATCCAGAGGTCACTGGAGGAGGTGACATCAGACATGGGATGTCCGATGTCTTACTTAATTTGTTTAAAATGTCATGATTTATTTTAATATTTCATGTGAAGCTTTGAAGCCCTCATTTTATAGCTGTGAGGGTAAAAAAATGAATGTAAAAACTTATTACACCGAATAATAAAATGATTTTGATATGACTGAAGTCGTGACAGCCACTTTCTTAAACTGAAGGGTTTTTTTCTCCATATTGTCACTAGTGTTACTGTCACTGGTGTTACTCATCTCCTTGATAACACAGTCCTATAAAAACTGATCTCACTGGTGTTATATTGCATCACTGGTGTTACTGTTTTGTCAGTGAGCTGAGGTAATAAATGTAATTTTATTTATTTTCTATCTATATTTTGCTTGATGATTTGTTATGTAATCAGTTGATAGTTTAGAATTAGTATAAAAAAAACTTCTGGTTTGAAT